TTTTTTTTTTTTTTAACCAGGGGTTGAACCCAGGGGCACTTAAACACTGAGCCAAATCCCCAGTCTTTTGAGACAGGGTCTCACAAAGTTGCTTAAGGCCTGGCTTTGAACTTGTGATCTTCCTGCCTCAGCCTCCTGAGCTGCTGGAATTACGGCATATGCCACCGTGCCTAGCCAGAGGATTTTTTGGGGGCAGCATGAAAGAGAAGGGTACATTGTGGACTTCCTTCTATAAAGCTATCCTGGGAAGTCAAAGCTTCTTCCTCTGTCTCACCTCAGATGTCATTGAGCCTCTGGTGTGTTCTCATTCATTCATAAATAATGCACTAAGTTGTGGGAAAACCTCATTTCTGTTTAATAGCCAAATGATCCTAATCTAAGTAAATGAAATGAATTCAAATTTGCATTCCTCAAGGGTAATTAATGACTGGTAAGTTGCACTTGGCTGTTTCACTGTCAAGGTTGTTATTTCTTATTACCTTTATGTCCAAATGTGCAACCCGGCAGTTGTGAAGGTACTGCAGAGCCTCCATGATGTCTCGAATGTAGAAAGCTACTTTTTCCTCCATCAGCTCATCATGATTCATAAGATAGTCTAAGAGCCGGCCATCATCCATCCTAAAAGTGGGGAGAAAAAGGTAAAGGAAATATTTGTGAAGAAACAGAAAAATAACATGTAGAAAACTCAAAGCCTCTAAGATCTCTTTTATTTGTAAGTGAAGATCAATATTGCAACACATGCATGTATTAGAGTCCAGAGTAAATGTAGTGTTCAGAACTAAATGTAGTTACAAACGTCATGAGCTTTGGAGAAATAATCAATGCAACAGTTGTTTAAGAAATACTGTTTCATATTTTTAAAAAATATTGTTTAGTTATGAATGGATATTTATTTATTTATTTATTTATTTATTTATTTATTTATTTATTTATTTATATGTGGTGCTGAGAATCAAACTCAGTACTTCACACATTCTAGGCAAGCGCTCTACCACTGTCATAAAAATTGTGCTTGTATATATGTAATAAGAATTGTAATGCATTCCACTGTCATTTATTTTTTAAAAAATCAATTAAAAATACTTTTGCAAAACAAAAAAAAAGAAAAAATAAATACTGTTTCATTGAGTGTTAAGATTGTTCACATGGAAAGAGATTGGACATCCCTTTTAGAAGTTAGATTGCAAAATAAAGAAAGCCTTAACCAAGACATCAGCAATATTCTGTTTAACTGGAGTCCTACACTTAGTGCCTACACTAGTGCCATATATGTTTTACAAACCATTTTTATTTGTCAATTTCTTAGTTCTTGTTTTTTTTTTTTGTGTGTGTGTGTGTGTCTGTGTGTGGTTCTGGGGATTAGAACCCAGGTCCTTGTGCATGCAAGGCAAGTACTCTACCAACTGAGAGTTATATCCCTATAACTGAGCTGTATCCCTATCCCTATTTGTCAGTTTCTTAGTTGGGGAAAATGGAAAACAGGCTAAGCTTGTTCTTGGCATTCTTTATCTCTTTTTGAATCCTTTGCCTTTCAGCAACTGTGTTACTTTAAAGACTGTCATTGAAGACATAACAGTGCAGCATGCCATGCCTGGATCTGGATCCTGGATCTGCCCCGACCCCTGGTGTCATTTAAACTCTCTGGGTTTTGGCTTCCTGGAAGAATGCCATTTTTAAAGTAGGAATAATAGTTACCACAGAAGATAATACTGCCTATTTCATTATGAGGATTGTGCAAGGATAAAGTGAGACAATAAGGCATTTAAGCATGATTGGTAGCACTTGTATCTATTTTCTATTTTCAGGTACTCTGTGTCTTCTTATCATAAGAAGTGACCAAAGTTTTTAATGTGCCTGGGCTTTTAGGGCCATATCCCAAGGAAATGCCCAGGCAGAGGAGCTTGATCCAGGGTCACAAATTGCTTTCAACCACAACTGAAACTTCTCTGGCCAAGTTTCCAGTTCTCTCCTCTAGTTCATTCCCTTCCTCTGGTTCCCTCTATTTTCTTCTCGGGAGCATAGGACTGATGAAGAGCTCATTTGTCTTCCTTTGATCCTATTGGGGGTGGGGTAAGAACGGGAAGAATATCCATAGTACAGAGTTGTGACTAGAAAGTAAGTACACACCCCTGCTTATGTTTAAATATTAACCTAAGATTAGTTTTTGATTGGAAATTTATCAACTCTTATTCAAGGTAAAGGTCAAGGGTGAGCGTCTCCCTTGTTTCTTCCTTTTTCTCTGGCTTGAATACACAAACTTCATAAACTTGGAAGTCATGTATTGAGAAGAAAAGAACAAGTGGAGGGAAGGATTCTAAATTTCCATATCAACACTTGGGCTAGAACTGATAAGGAACATTTGTTCAGTAATCAGTATGTACAAAATGAAATTTATATAATTTTCAAACAATTATATATTAGTAGCATTACTCTGTTGTGTTATTAAATACATGAATTCTCAATATGCAAAAAAAAAAAAAAAAAGGAATGGGAAGAATAGAGTACAGCAGTGGGCTTGTTAAATGCACCCTGCCAAACTTCTGGGAGCTATTACGGAGAAATTTACAGTAGAACTGCTCCAAGCACAACCAGTCATGGCACAACCAGAAGTTTCAGACACCGAGTTTAACCTTAGAGCTGTAGAATAATGAACAGCCCATACTCCAACCTGGACTAGGGAATCTCGGAATCTCAGAATTTGGTCATGTAGTTCTATCAGCAATTTTTTTTTTCCTTACCGGGGGCTTGATAGTTGAGTGAACTTGGGGGTACTCAACCACTGAGCCACATCCCCAGCCCTATTTTATATTTTATTTAGAAACAGAATCTCACTGAGTTGCTTAGCTCCTCACCATTGCTGAGGCTGACTTTGAACTCATGATCCTTCTGCCTCAACCTCCCTAGCTGCTGGGATTACAGGTGTGCGCCACCACGTTCTCCTCTATCAGCAATTCTAATAGCAAAGGGGAGACTCACAGTCACGGCACAACCAAGATTCAGTTAATTTAGCTCAGGCACTGCCTCCCCACAAATCTATTCTGAATCTCAAGTCCAACCACATAGCTTTCTATTTCTATGGCAACCTTCTCTAATGCACGGTTCCTGGTATTTACCATGCTATATTGAAATCATCCATTTCTCTCTTGGTCTTAATCATTAGACTTATAATTTCTTGGAGACAAGAACTATATACCTTTTCTCCTTTATTCTCTAGAAAACCTGGAATGAATGAAATCTTTTGGCAGTCAAGTTCCATCCTAAAAGAATTCCTTGGGTAGAAGACTGGGTATGCCAATGCAGTTGAATGATGTACAAATTCCTCTTTTTCATTTCAATTTCATTCCTGTCAGTTGGCCCACTGTCAATAAGCTCTTCTTAAATTCCTGCTCACCCCCAAAGCCCATAACAGAAGAAAATGAAAATTGGAATGAGAAATATACACAAAATTTCAGTAAGAAAAATAAGTTCTGGTGTTTCTTTTTGCATAGTAGGGTGATAAGAGCCAGAAAGAATTTTGAGTGTTCTTTTTTTTTTTTTTCAGAGTAAAAATTAGAAGTTTATTAAAGGACAGCAGAAAGACTTCTCCCGGAGGAAGAAGGGGACCCAAGAGGTGGAATACCTTGAGTGTTCTTACCACAAAGAAATGATAAATGTTTAAGGTGACAGATATGATAATTACCCTGATTTGATCGTTACGCAATGTATACTTGCATTGCATATCATATTGTACCCCATAAATAGGTACTATCACGTGTCAATCAAAAATAAAATAAAATTCATCTGATTCTTGACAATGGCACTAAAAACACACATGGAGAAAAGACAGCCTTTTTAACAAATGGTGCTGAGAAAACTGATTATCCATATGAAGAAGAATGAGACAAAGTCCCTATTTCTCACCCTGCACAAAATTCAACTCCAAATGGATCAAAGATCTAGGAATTGGACTAGAACTTTGCAACTTCTAGAAGAAAACATAGGGTTGACACTCCAAGATACAGATGCAGGCAGCAACTTCCTTAACAGAAGTCCTAAATCTCAGGAAATTATACCAAGAATTAATAAATGGCTCTTTGGGTGGAAGCAATAGCTGGGTAGTGGCAGCTGCTGATTGTGCTCTAAAGGAGTGGAGTGAGGGATGATGTAAGGGTGGCAGTGGTAGCAGTGACAGTTGCAGTGACCATGTCCAGCATGAATCCCAAATATGATTATTAATTCAAGTTACTTCTGATTGGTGACTCTGGGGTTGGAAAGTCTTGTCTCCTTTTTAGGTTTGCAGATGATACATATACAGAAAGCTACATCAGCACAATTGGTGAGGATTTCAAAATAAGAACTATAGATGGGAAAACAATCAAGCTTCAAATATGGGACACAGCAGGCCAAGAAAGATGCCCAACAATCACCTCCAGTTATTACAGAGGAGCCCATGGCATCATGGTTGTGTATGATGTGACAGATCAGGAGTCCTTCAATAATGTTAAACAGTGGCTGCAGGAAATAGATCCTTATGCCAGTGAAAATGTCAACAAGTTGTTGGTAGGGAATCCATATGATCTGACCCAAAGAAACTAGTAGACTACACAAAAGCAAAGGAATTTGCTAATTTCTTTGGAATTCCATTTTTAGAAACCAGTGCTAAGAACACAACAAATGTATCACTGTCTTTTATGATGATAGCAGCTGAGATTAAAAGCAGGGACCTGGAACAACAGCTGGTGGCAGAGAGAAGTTCAATGTAAAAATTCAGAGCACCCCAGTCAAGCAGTCAGGTGGAAGTTGCTGCTAAAATTGACCTCCATCCTTTTCTCAAAGCAATGAATTTGCAATCTGAACCCAAGTGAAAAACCAAAATTGCCTGAATTGTACTGTATGTAGCTGCACACAACAGACTCTTACCATCTCTACAAAGGTCAGATTGTAAAAGGTCAATATGGACTTGTTTTGTTGTTGTTGTTGTTGTTGTTGTTGTTGTTCCCTGGACTCAGACAGCTAACTTCATTTTTAGAACTGTTTTAAACCTTTGTGTGCTGGTTTATAAAATAATGCGAGTAATCTTTGTTGCTTTCCTGATATGAGACTGTTTCTTGTGGTTGGTTAAAATATATTTTGTTCTGATGTTTATATGAGCATGTTTAGATGTTGGGTTTAGTCTTCTGAAGATGAAGTTCAGCCACTTTGTATCAAATAGCACAACCAGTACCTGTCACTTTCTATGCATAAAATTTAGTGAGATGTTCTATTTAAGTTCTGATTTGCTAGTTCTTCCTTGTAAAGTTATAAATGGAAAGATTACACTATCTGATGAATAGTTTCTTCATACTCTGCATATAATTTGTGGATGCAGATTATTGCAATTTGTTGCACACTATGTAACAAAATAAGTGAAGATATGTTTAATAAATATTATACTTATTGGCAGTAATATCAAACTGTATGGTGATAAGTATTGTTTTAATTCTTATGGTTAAAGGGAAATAGAGCCTTGCATTCTACTGAAAACAGCCATTTCTGTGTGCAACCACGGCATCTAGGCCTACCTGTAGTGCAGCATCCAGTTATTTGCCTTTTAGATAATAGACCTGATAAATGACCTAGGGCAGCTTCTGTGCTGCGTATGGATTTAATAAATTTTAGTGGTTCAAGAAGCTCAAATTGTATGGAAAACAAGTTTAGAATGCATGCTGTCTAGCCCATCATCTCTGATTCTTTTCTAAAACCATTTGAAATGGCTCTACTCATCAAGAGTTCCTTAATTTATCTGTGGTAGCAGTGAAGAGCGGCACACCCTTCCTAACTGGCAAATGATCAGATAATGTGTGTTGAAGTTTCTTCCATCCTCTGAGTCAGATGACAACCATTTTGTCCTTCACAATTGTATAACTCATGTTAGAGAGTTTAAACATTAAAGTAGAAAGCAGGAAACTT